CCTCCTGATTTTCCTCCTCATTGATCCTTTAGAATAAACTGTTCAGTGTGTGTATGAATGCATGTCAACACAAACATCTTCTCCTGAACAACCTGTCTCAGCAGAAATCTTTGGTCCTAGTAAGAAAAATTGTATGGTATATTCTTTATTAAAGGATTTTAAAAACCTTACCATGTTTGTAGATGGGATTCATTCTACAGGGTTTATAAAATTCATAGTATTTTCTATTACATTTCTACTAAGTCTACAGAAGACTTTCAATGCCACCCATTAAGTATGCAGCATGTGCAAAGCCATGACAAATACCAAAGGCAATAACACTGGAAAAAATTGTATTCAAATTGCAGCATAGTGAAAATTATCTTTCCAGCTTTGAATAAACTAGTGACGGAATAATTCAGTGCCACAACATGCATGACAGAAAAATAAAGGTGTCAAAGAGTGTTGAGACAAACTTCATGCCAACATAACATTTGCCTCTCAACATGCCAACATAACATCTGCATCTCTCCCCGACACATCTTTTAGAGGCAGAAATAAATATTCAAAGGTTCATCCCTGTTTCCTGCCCCAGCTCATCCCCGATCCCTCAACGCCCCCCTCCAAGCATAGTTCCTCACTTCCTTTACTTTACTCAATATGCTTTACGTTCAGTGAGCAGAAAGAGGTATCCATATATTTGCTTCCACATGATTTTTTTCATGAACGGACAAGATCATCCTATGAACATGAATGTCAAACTTTAATTTGAGCCCTTCCAATCGGGGGCAGGGGGCACAGTGAGATTCAGGACCCATTGAACATCACATATTCTTTTCTACAGGGTGGGAATTACAAAAATTTCCTCAAAAGCAACATGAACCTTAATTTGCAATGACTGATTTATCGCAATAATATCAAGATACCTTGGGGGGGAAACAAAAAGCAGCAATTAAAAAAACCCGAGTGCAATGGATAATGCAAGGACAAAGGAAAGTGAATGTGTGCAGGCCTTATGACAAGCATATATGAAACTGGCAAAGTTACCTGGGGAATGTGGGGCTAATGCAAGAAATCTGTCCCTGCAAAGAATCCAGGATGTTGCTCTGTGAACA